TTGATTTATTTTATTTGCATACAATTTTTTGACTATTTAACTATTCCAAAATTAGAATTCGTCGCGGCCAAGTCAGTTTAACTATCGGGATTGGTCGTGAGGAAATATTCAAACGTACTTACTTGTTTGTCGATAATAATACCTTGTGTTTATATCTGAACTGATTTATACAGAATCTTAATGCAAATAAGATGCTGTAATTGACGCAGATGTCGCAGTGGGGTAAAGAAAGCTACATGGTAAAGGTGTATATACTGAAACTATTCCACACTACCGTGTCGTTTTAATATATTTATGAACGACACCAATCTGCATTTTTGTCCAATTAAATTTCTTCAACAAGTTTCCAAAAATGTTACAACTTGACAAGAAAGGGGGATTCTGTCTAAACTGGTTTATATTCACAAAAGTGGTCCGGGCGGCTTCCACTCTCTAAATAGTTCTAGTCATTTTAATTCCTCCGTGTTGTATCTATACATAAACAAGTATGCCTGTATATGGGTAGACAATATAATATTAATCAATATGAATGTTAAACATATAATAGGTGAAACTTATATCTATTAAATTTGATGTCTGTTCCATATTTTGTTTTATTAATTCTCCCTTGCGATGCAGATCTGTAGCATTTTTAATTATTTGGCTAATTCAGTCCCAAATTTTCTGATTTTAATTACGATCAGGAAGAAGAGCGCATCGTTACTCTGGACTAGGAATATCTCTCACAGTATCCTGAAAGTATTCAGCGAAAAATTGGTGGAGCCTATGCTTAGGAATTTTATTGGTGTGTTGGTATGGCGTGCCCATTAAAAATTTCAAATAAATATGCTTTTATTTACTTTATTTAGCTTAAATTTCTAAATAAAATTTTGATTCAGAAAATATTAGAAATAAAAAAAAATAAAAATTTAAGCTTAATTTATTTGCTTTCGAACAGTTTGTAAATTTTTGGTGTTTATTAACAAATGGACCTGTAATAAAGAAATAGTACATTATTGCAGAGGTCGGGAAATATAGGATTCATGCCCGTTCCCGCCGAGGCGTATGTAGTGCTTTTCTTAAACAATACAAGGAAATAATAAAAGACTGTAGAATGAACGGGAATGTATAATGGAAAAAAATAAAAAATAATTGATATTAAAAGTAATATTGAAATTTTATATATTTTTGTTTGCGCTTTGAATAGCCGGACACAAGTTTTCCATGACAAATTTTGCTTCTTGTTTTAAATTAGGCGGAGTACAGTGCATTATTGTATTTGCGCTGTTTTCACTAGAAATAATTTTCGTGAAGAAAATATAAAAAATAGAAATAAAAAATAACTGCACAGCTATTTTCGTTTACCGCCTTTATTTTAATGGTGGTGCAGGGATATTTGTGCACCTTAAACGCAAAATAGGTAATATCATGGACATTTTTTAAATTCTCGCAATTACGGACACTGATGCTAGTGGGCAGTTGGCTATATGCTAAGTGGAGCGGCTGGGAGGTTTTGCAACCTATTAAATTTGATGGTGGTGTGGACTGTAAGGCGCGGTTCTAGAAGAAGGTAAAGAAAGTCTGATTTACGGCTATATCATCGAGAAAATAAAGAATAAAAAATAGAAAGAAATATTATGAAGAAAATTGTGCCGTACCTTGAACTCCTCGTTAGGGCCTTATACGTTGGAGGTGTACGTTGCCAGGGGAATATTCACACGCAAACAAATCACTTAAAATAATGCGGATTTTCAATGAAAAAAATGTCCGTCACCCGCAAGAATAGCGTAGCGTCTTGATTTTATTTTATTTCTTTGAAGTGGTGGCGGCGAGGTTCTCGTGCAGTACCGCGAGCCAGCAAATACGAGGCCAGCGCACTCTAGTGGCGACATCTTGTCTTCTACCCCCTTCACTCAAAGGCATTTTGGCACAGTGCAAAAGGGAAGAGAGAAAGGTTCGATGCTATGCCTAACTAATGAAATTAACGTAACACCAAAGAAGCGGATATTGGTTTGAATGTGAAAGTTAAACATAGCCAATAAATCGAGTTCTTAGGTTTTCGCGATTGTTATACATAGGAATGAAACTATTTTTCCGGATTTAAATCGCATATATTTGTTTTTTCAAACAAACCGACGTTTCGGGCCATGGGACCTGTAAAGGGCCCGAAACGTCGGTTTGTTTGAAAAAACAAATATACGCGATTTAAATCCGGAAAAATAGTTTCATTCCTATGGCCAATAAACATTATATAGGAAATTTAAAAACAAAAATAATTTATGTGTGGTGATAACGCCACCACTAAGAACAATATTTATTCTATGATTATAGGCAATGATCTTATATACAAAAAAAAGGGTTATTGTTATTAGGCTGTATGACAGTTTTTCATTAGTGTGTTTAAATCTTAGAGGATGGAAGTTTAAATAGCACTTTGTATGCTATTGCATAGACGTCGTTTGCTCTTTGTTAGTAGATATTTAATAGGTTAGAACAGCGGACAAAAATTTATTTTGCCGCCATTTAAAGAAACATAATAATGTATTTACATCTTATACTACTCGTATGTAAATACATTATCTTTTTTTAAATGGCAGCAAAATAAATTTCTGTTCCATCCTCTTAAGATTTACATACTTATTATATATTTAGCCAGCCTGAGCTGAAAGACATTTCCGAGCATGTTTGAGAAAATTATTATTATATCAATGTCTCTAGTGAAGAAGGGAAGAACTCAAAATCGACACTTTTCAGGAGAGGCAAAAAACCATTATTGATTATTGGTTGTTCGCATTTATTATTAGTACTTTTTGTGATTTCTAGCTTGAGGTATACGTCTAAGCTTTCGTTTAATGGGTATTGGTTAAACATTCAGTCGTATTTTCCATATATATTTTTTAAGTTTTTTTTATGAGTTGCGTCCTTGTTTATGAATGCTTAACAGTAATAACACGACATAGGTTAACAAAACTTTAAGACATAATTCGACTTATTCCCTTAACTGCGACTGTTCTATGGTGATAACTATACTTATGATACTAACCACGTTGATAAGACACAAAATCGTATAGTCGCGAGTATGACCAATCCTGTCCAATGGAACAAACGGAATGCTCAGTTCTACTTTTATGTGTACTGTGGAATCCGAAATCGTTTTTAGTCCTACTGTTTTCCCAGTCATTATGGAACAATACGAAAAGTGTCTTTATGTGAAAATATATCTGTACTTTTCCGTTACACTTGCATGTACTTTTTGAGTTGACAGCACTTTTATCTTTACGCTTATAAAATATGCCAGTTAACTAAAATTATGCCTTTTAAAAACAGTGAGTTATGCCCTTAGTGCAATAAGAAAAACGACGTTAGGAGACTGCTAGAGAGATGTGCTATAGATATGTTATGTAATCGGACACGCTGAAGTCAATGGTGCAATAAAAACAAAAGTGCATAGCTCATCTTATTCCGTTTTTCACTGGAGGCGCTGATATTTAAAAAGTTTTCCGGTGATCTAAATATAATCGATACAAAACAAATATGGTAGTCACGCGTAGGCTCAGATTAAGGTCGAGAGTAAATAATATATTACGGTAATTTGTCTTGCAGACTAGAATGAAAACGTGCTTATGGCGATAATTGCGATGTGGGGAGAGAAATAGTTTTTTTTTAAATAAAAAAAGTAGTTTTCCCATAGTACAGACAAGTAGCGCAACTTCCGTATAGGGTTGTCACATAATTATTTTAATTGTACCTATTGGTTAATATAATTTGAAAAAATTAAGGTGTTCATCACATATTCACGCGCTTTATTGAAATAAGGTTTGTTAAATGTAGTATACGTATCCATATTTTTATATCGCAGGTAGGTATCTCTGTTATTGGAGTATAATTAAGATAGAAATGAAACGCTGAACAATTAATTTTAAATCTAAGGCACTGTTGTTCAAACCATAAACACAATAATAAACACGTCTACTATTTGATGTCATTTTTAAACACTGAACGAACGAATGCTATAATGAATAGCGTTTAATTAGATTTTTTTTCATCCTCTAAGCGCGCGCAACACAAGTGCATCGCGAGATTAGGGAAATGTGTGCGTCTGTAGGTATACGACGACCCAACCGCGCGCGGCGGGCGTGCACACATACAAGCCGCGCTGCTATGGTTATATGGAGATACCTTTTATTATACTTTCGTGCTAACCTTCTACACTACCTTACAACGAGTCATCGAGTATATAATCAGAAATGGAAACGAAATGTCATTTAATTAATTTGAAAACTATTCTGCCAAATCATTACTGTGAGAACTGCGCTCTGATGGGCCAGCCCGAATTCGAAATAATTGACGGGAGTCGTCAATTGCTTTACTTCAACTCGACCAGTTTAACTTGACTTGATAATGGACGAAAATTGCAAAATTACATAATTATGTAATTACCGATGAACGTGTGATGAATGTGATTCCGTTTGTTTTGTAATTAGATGTTTTGCTGTTTTTCCCACACCACCGAATAGAACAGACCCCATTGTTAGAGATATTATCTTTATTACAATAATTACAGAATATTTTTGGAATATATGGAGACATACACACAGGTTGTTGGCGCTATACTATTTCAGTTTTCTAATTTGTGATTTCAGCGCAAACGAGAGTTGATATTTAAAACTGATATAAGGCCCATTTACCTGATGAGTTGCCAGGGATGGATGGCCCTTATTTTGTCTCTATTTCTGGTTAAATAATCTATTCAACCTTAGAGGATGGAAAAATAAAATAGGCTAAGGATTCAACGAGTATATCGCTGTCTTTTTAATTTCCTTCATAATTTGTCATCATAGATTATACAATAAATATTGCAGTCTGACAAAAACTTCTTTCTACTTAATTTATGTTTTTTTTTTCTATCAAGCATTTTTGATTATGTCATTTAAGTCACTATTTGTTAGATACCTCAACTCATCTAAAAACCCTATTAAAAATAAAAATCACAAAAAAAATTTCAGTTGTAATGTTTTTATTGAGAAACGAACACGATGTTGCGTTCTTGCCGTCGACGACTGCTGCAGGCGACGTTGCCCCAGGTACAAAAGAGTGTGATTCCGGGAGAACTAACCCTAGGATAGGCTACAGCAGATGTAGGAGAACAATTTCTATGATTGCCCCTTGGCATTGCACTACAGTAGTCGCGCTATGGCGAACTGAGCACGCACAATATTATTCAAGTTTGTCAATAAAATATTATAAATATAGGTTTACCGCCTGCACACTATAAAATATTTTTGTCAATATTTCATGGTAAAAATTGACCCAGTACAGTAACGCGCAGAAGTTTGATCCGTGTGTAAGTATCATAAAATGGACAGAAAGAAGAAAATTGTAGCACTGATTATTTTACACATTTTAACTTATCGACCGCACTATTAATTATTACTTTAGCACGGTACGCATCGATAGATATATTTTATAGTTCTGGACACGTTTCCAACATTTTAATAAATTCTAACAAATGCTACTTTTCCACGGGAGTAGCATTATGTAATATAGTAATATAATTTTCACCTTGGATACCTTTTTGGTTCTCCATAAAAAAAAACGAATGAGTGCATGCTTTTAAAACTCTTACTCCTCCAAAATATTGCCGCGCACTCGCATCCGCACACGATAATATTCTGGGTAGCTCTGCCTCCCCATGATACATAAGGAACTAAATCGGAATTTCTGAAAATGTGCAATAATATTTGTTCAATACAATAATATCACGCACACGCAATAAAATTAGCAATATATAATTATTGTCAATATTAGTGCGTGCATGGCTGTTCTAAAATTGAAAACGCACACAATCAAACAAGCACGTATGCGATAATATTGTTCGTACTGTACGCAGTGCTAGCGTGTTATTAAAATAAGAAATATATCCATAATATTTAAATAAATACAATAATGTTCGTGATTTAATTTGGTAGGAGGGTAATATAATCACTAGTTATAAATTTATTATCTCTAACATAGTAATTGAAGGTACTTTTCCTCTCCAATGAGCGGTTACATTTTCCAAAGTCATAGATTGACTGGCAAGTGGCAGCTTTAAAGTTATCTGTTTAACATCTAGCGTCGCGCGTCGTCTCTACTCCTTGGGATGTTCCTGTAATCCTGCATTCTTATAATGTCATGCCGTGGTGCTAGGAAACGTGTATTGATTATTATAATTTTTAAATTATATCAATATTTTAACATTTAGATATCAATATTTTAAAATTTAATTAGTGTCTAAAAGGACACGAATGGCTGTGCATGAGAGGGTGCTGGTTCCTACACTTATTCTGTTTTTTTCTAACTAAAATGCGGCTAAATGACAAGTAGTCAAATATCCGTTTTAAAAAGCATAAGATTTAACTCAAGATTCTCTGTTTCAGACATATCGGAACTTATCCTAATGATGCATAACTGAAATATCATTAAACAATTTCAATTCTAAAACTTATTTATGTTTTTTATGATATCTCAAAACATGATTTTGTCACATAGCCAAGTTTTAGTCAGCCGACGGCGGTATGTGTGGCAGTGAATGTTGGAGTTAGGCAGAAGAAGTACGAAAGTAGAATTGATATGTAGTAGAAATGAGAGCTTTTGAGAAGTATGGCTGGAGTGACTCTAATGGATTAGAGAGCGTTGCGGTGTGTTAGAATATGTAGTGATAAAGATAGACAAAGGGATGCTTAGATGGTTCGTATATGTTGAGAGAATGAATGAAAGATGATTGACGAAACAGAGTTATAAGGCGAGTGTGAGCGGGCAAGTTGGTAAGGGCCTAAACGACTAAATTGAGGCTGATTTTAATTGAAACTGTGATCCGATTTGAAATCTAAAAAGTTTTCGATCGGCCAGCTGTGAACTCGGGAGAAACGCAATTTCCGATCGGAAGAGAGAACGATTTGAATTAAAATCAGCCTGCAGGTCAAAAGTACCCTTAATCGAGGAACGTGTATGATAACACTATTGATGCGTGTTGATGATGTGAAAGATGTGTGTCAGGACCGTAGCAAGTGGAAGACTGTTCTCCGTGCCTACTCCGATGGGAAAAAGACGTGAAGTATGTGTGTTAACATTAAAAATGATCATATACACACTGTTATGAACGAATTAATGAAATATTCTTTGTTGCACATTAAAAATTGTAATGACGACACAGAACAGTAATTTCGTCCAGATTATCTTAGGATAATCATTTATGAGCTGGAAAGGTAGGTGCAACCAAGGAATATCTTCTAATAGAAGTGTTTTAAATAAATACTCTCGGGACTCATTAATAAAATAAATACACAAATAATAATAATAATAATGACCCATTTTAATTCAAAAGTAATCGTTTAGGTCATAGGCTCTCGCCTCTAGTTTAAAATAGATAGGTAAAAAAAAATACATACATTAGTAAAATGTATACATATATATAATAATATGGGTCTAATACTAAGATGTACTTACTTTTATAGGATAATAAAATAAATAATAAATATTAATAATAATAAATAAATAAACAGAAAATAATAGCATATTGTTATAATTTTCCCATGTTAAAAAGGTAATACTTTGTAGTTAAGGAAATTTTCCTTTGTTTTGAATGGAGTACTTATATTTTATTAGAATATAAAATGTCAGGTGACAACGAAACTTGGATACAAGAATTACGTGATGTCAGATGCGCTAGCGCAGATGGAGATGTACTGTGAATCCCTCAAGTGTGCAGCGCCTATTCGCAAGAGAAAGGTATGTGGTCGCCTTATTTTTCTTGCTGTCCTTACAGGTATCGATTTATTATTAAAATATAGAAGGTGTAATTAGTTACGCCTTACACCAAACAAGCACCTATGTTTCGTTTTAACTATCCTGGGGCCTTAGTGTAAGTTTTCAAATATGTAAACTTAACTATCGCATTTGCGTTACGATTTTAATATAAACCTTAAACATATGTAAATAAGATCTAAATAAAAATCTTAACGCAAACGCGTTAGTTACGTTTGAATGATTAAAAATTTACACTCAGGCCTCCGATCCTACTTGACAAATCGTTGTGATTTTTACCTCGCACGTATTTCTACGAGAACAGTATTTTTACCTACACTGTTGATAGATGGATAGATAAACCGTTTATTGTCTTGCAACACATACACAACAGTAAATGGATTGAAAGGGGAACACACAGAAATTAAAATTATTCGAATAATAAGAAATTCGATTAAAAATGTGTAAAAAAAATAACCTAACGATCAACAGCTTGTGTGTTGCAGCAAGCCAAATATGTCGTGGCACAGTGCGAAATTTGCCCAAAATCGAAGCACTGGTTTTCCACCACCTACGAAGGCACCCTGTTGCGGTGCATCAAAAGCAAAAACATTGTGATACATGCACACCTAGTGTGCATATGTGTTAGTATCGACGTGAGTGTTATGTAGATAAAAAATATATAAAAAAATTACTAACTTTAAAATATTAAGAAAAAATGATAAAATTGTAATACAATTGAGATTATAATTTGTTCTAACGCGCGTTTCATTCTCATATCTCCCAAGAGAGGCTCTTGAAATCTGTCCTTGACTTTTTTATGATACAATTACCCGATAATAGGTTTAGGTCCACCTCAGTTACCAACCCCAAGAAAAAGACCACAGAGGAATGTGAGGAACATCGGATAATTAACTTAAGCCCAAGTGCTTCAGATAGTCCTATCTATCATACGCAGCCGTTTGAGATTAAAAAAACAATTCATTATTTTGCAGAAGTCCATGTTAATAAACAAATAAATAAAAAACGCACACTCTCATAGCCCCGCACTAGGAAAAGCCTGTGTCGCGGGTGCCATGGCACTCACATAGAACATCACAAATTACACCCAAACCCAGGAGATAAATAAATGTATGCCATACAAATCTGCGTGTCAGACTTGCATAGTATCCGATCGGTCACATAGACACTTCAACATGGAAGATAAGGAATAAATATGTAACTAAATTATTTTGCCACTCCGCGAAATGCGTGATAGAATGTTTGTGTAAAGATAGGGCTAATGGCTAAACTAATTTAATTTTGTATCCGCGTTAGTTTGTGTCTTTAATTTGGTAGGTGACAGTTTATGGCGCAGGGAGCGACGTCGGGCGCATCGTGACACTATGTCTCAAGATGCAAAGTGCAGTAAAACAACTGTCTTTGTACGACGATGTAGCTAAGCACCACGTGATCGGCGTAGCTAACGACATCGCACACATCGACACTAACTGCGCTGTTGATGCATACCAAGGCCGCACATATCTTAAAAAAGCTTTAACTGTAAGTATGAAAAGTCAGTTTGTACACGCATTTAATAACTTTGTTTATTTTAATTGTTTTTTAATCAATTATTTTTTGTGAAATGACTCCACTAGTTTGTTATAATTATTAATACAAAGATCGAATACACAAAAAATTCCTTCGATCCGGCCGGATTCGAGCCGACGTCTTCTAGTAAACCGTGCCAGATGCTATGTCAACTAAGCCACGGAACGAACCAGCGGATCTTACGAATTTTTCTGTGTTTGTTATCGGATCTTTGTATCTGGTTTTTAACGACTTTTTAGCCGTAGCGCCACCTGGCTAGAGATGTCGCTATTCACTGTCATTAAGTGTTTTATTGAATGTCAGGATGTTTCGCCGTGATGATAATCAATAATTTTTTTGTGAAATTACTCCACTAGTTTGTTATAATTATTAATACAACGATCGAATACTTGGAAATAAACCCTTCGATCCGGCTGGATTGGAACCGGCCTTCTAGCAAACCGTTTGTTTATTTAATCAGCAAATTTTGTAGGTTTACTGCATTATTTCAATTGTAGAAAACATTGGTGTTAGAACAGCAACAACGGTCTACAATGCTTACGCTCATGCTTGGCTAAGCTATGGTAACACTTTGTGGGGAAATAGCACAAATGCCTTGCGTTTTTTCATTTTAATGTTTTCTAAATGCAAGTTAGTCGTTTTACCTCTCTAGTGTCGATGTTATTTTATTTTATTTATTTATTTCTATAAACTTTAAAAATATTACATACAATGGTTTCTTTACACCCGTAAACCTATATTGGTTTGTCTGGGTGCTGCACAATCCTCTTATTAATAATACAAAATAACTTATTTTAAGCACGAGTATAAAATTTACACAACACTGATATTATGTATGTTATCGTCTCCTATCATTTTTTTTGTCGGTAGCAAAAGAAAACAAAACAACTAATATCGCCATTCGCAACACAAAAACCCGTTCCTGGACTCGCTTGATATTGACCAAGCCCGTAATCATACAGCGTGCTCCAACTTACCATACAAATTAACTATCTAAATGACTAAATTTTTTTTTAAATCATTTTTAATTAAATGTTTTAGATTTATGTTGATTTTATGATTTATGTTATGTATACATAAACGTATAAAAGGCTTCAGTGGCTCCCTATTAAGTTGCGCCGTGAGGAGCACGCTTCTTTTTTCAGCTTGCTCTATAATGTTCTATACGACACTCGTATTCTGCCATACCTTAAGGATCGTTTTCGCTTCCTCGGGTGTGATCACAACCGTGAACTAAAGTCTCAAATGGATAACCTACTGAAGCTTCCTTTCATTCGCTCTGAGTATTACAAAGATTCCTTACGATTACGGCTGCAAAATTGTGGAACGATCTCCTATTTGAAATCCGACATTCTAAGTCTCTACCTATTTTCAAAACCGGATTGCGTAAATATCTTCTAAGACGGTCCTGGTCTGCAGCGTGTGTGTATTTATTAGTAAGTATAAGTTTATTTAGGTATATACACATTATATGTATATGTATATATTTATGTACGTATTAAATATTTGATAAATTACTCTTGTGTTTTTATTGCATTTATTTATTTTGTATTTTTTTAATTCTCTTTTTTAATTTATACAATTGATTTTTATTTGTAAAATTGGCACACTACGTCTCCCGCTCCGGTTAGCTTTCCTCTAACTCAAAGGTTATCTGGAAGAGATCGCTCTTAGCGATAAGACCGCCTTTGCCCACATTACTTTTAAGTTGTTTATGTACTATTCTTGTTCTTGTGAGTGAGCAATAAAGTGTTTATCTATCTATCTATCTATCTATCTATCTATCTAATTATACTAGTTACAATTCATTGAAGGAACTTCGTAAAGAGATAAATTAGCATGTCTGCGTTTTGATGGCATTGAACCTGACTAAATTGCCATTGCCCCAATCAGAGGCAGCCTCGATTTTAAACCTTTCATTGAACACTAATTTGTCTACAACTACTTGTCGCCTTTGGTGTCTCCAGGTCACCTACCGGATATAATCAAAGTTAGGTTTAGAGATTTTATTTCTCATTAAGAATTTCCGTTCATTTAACATGAGAAAGAATAAAATGAGTGCAGTTGAACTGTCGAACGACAAAGATTAAGTATTAAAATTGTTTTATGTTTAGTGGGTTGTTGATAATTTAAATGAGAATGAGAGACATAATAGATTAATTGTCTATACATCCTCAAATGGCGTTGGTTGATTCTGCATAACAGTGAAAATGTTGAATTTATCACTTTGGAAAAAAATATACCGCACTGTTAGTACTAAATAATAATAAAATTAATAGTATATTAACTCAAAAAATGTATTCTTTCAGAATCGATAAAAAACGACTTGCTTACTTGGCGTGAAATTTTTTTTTATTGTATGTATAGGTTAAACTTTTTAAGAGACATCTAAACAATTTCCTACTATCAAATATATTTAAAATGAAAAAGGAAAAAATAAATTAATATTTTTGAGAGAGTTTTATCTAGAACTAAGTAACAAAAAGTTTGCCCCATTTTGAGTTAAGTATATATAATTAATTGTTTCTTATAATATTCTAACGACAGTTTTATTGACGTGTATAGAAACAAATTTTACGTCCAGCAATACTATAACCTTGATTTTCACATGTTTTGAGTTAGAACACTATTATAATAGCAGTGCGATATAGTAAAATTGATACACACTGGATATGCACTGATTACTATTTGGTGTGAAAATGCGATTTCGAGAAATTTTTACGATAGAAAAAAAAACATAAACTTACCTAGAAATTTTACAAGAAAACCGCTGTATTCAATAGAATGAACTGAATAGAACACGATTTTTCGAATGGCTTTAATTTTCTTTGTGAAAAAAATAAATTCTGAAACAAAGCCTGAAGACCCAAGCAAAATGAACCGTTTAACGAGAAAAATTTGAATTCGTGCTAAGGTAGTATGAACTCTTAATGAGAAACTTTAGCATCAACAGACTGCAGAGAAGCCATGGTTAGTTGAAAGTATACATGGAGAGGGATATTTACATATTGAATTTGTATGTGATAAGCCAGCAGTCGTAAGAGTAAAAAGATGCATATTATACTCGTATAGCTATATGATCTCTACCGTACTTATTGATTGAAAAGTTAGGGCAGTTACGAACCTTCATTGTTTTTCCTTTGCAGGATGCTGACGTAGTGGTGATTTGCGGTGGACGTTACGTAATGCCTCCCTGCTGCAATATTTTGGACCGGGACCTGTTCTTCCAGAACTTGCAACACGTGCGCACCGCCGTTATTGGCTGCGCTATGTTTGCGCCAAACGCATTGATCGCCGTTCAAACGCCACCTGTCGACTGCAACTTCACACTTTGCAAATACGTGAGTTTTTAATTTTATTCACCTATTATTCATTATGAGTACATTATTGCAACGATATTAACAGTAAACACGGGAGAAACAAACAAAACTAAAACAAAGCTGTTACATGGTGCTGCCTCCGTGGCCGAACGGTAACTGCTGCTGGCTGACTGCGGCTGATCTACCACGGAGAGGTCCCGGTTTCGATCCCGGGTCGGGTGAAGTATATGTATGGCCTACATTAATTTATCTCGTGAATTTGGATGAAATTTCTGGTTGCTTATGTACACCACCTATATATACACATACATGCACACCCTGTGATATGAGTGAAGCACGGACTCGAGTGCAAACAATACATACATACATACATAGCGTGTGTGTAAAAGTATAATACATATATAACGTATGATAGTGCGGGGCTATGAGTGTTTGCGTGTGTGCGTTATAGTATAATACGATAAGTATGATAACTACATTCATAAGCAACCAGCGCCAGCGCTATGCAACGCGAATGCATAGTGAAATTATGCGAATGTGTGCATCTGTACACGACATGCAACTCCATACAAACTGCGCTGCTACATTTGTGGGGAGCTACCATACTTATTTATATATGGGTTTCTATGGTCTCGTTTCTTTTGGATCGCATAGATAACTATTCTATGTATCTATCTAATTGAGGTCAGTTAGATTAATTCGCCCGAAGTTCCTCAATTTGAACATGTATATTTATTTATGCTTTCGCTCATTAACAGCTATGATAATAGTTCAGTATAGGCAATAAATTAAATGTGTTTGAAATCTTGTGAACTAGAACTAGGACTGTATGAAACTAAAACGAGAAAATAATAAGACATTCAATAGATGTTTAATACTGCTGCTGTGCTGCGTACAAGTTTTAGTAGCACCCTGAAAATGTTTGCTGCTAAGCTCGATGCGCCGCGATGCTGCGTTACTTCATTCAGGTTTTGGTGAGGTGTTGTGACAGTGCGCTCCTCGAGCGACTCGTACACATCGTGTTTTGGTCATCGTACACAACGTGTTTTGGTCGATTATGTACTTACTAACAATAGTCTCATGATTAAATTATTAGTATTTTTTTGTTTTATTAACACGTCGACCCAAGACGTCTTAATAAATGATTTATTATTATTAGTAATAAAAATTTTGTGAAGCGAGAGCAAAAACAAGTCGTTAGCACTGTTATACGTATAATCTGCAAAGCCTTGAGACACAGAAATTAAAATCGATGTTTGTTTGCTTGCTCACCTTTTGCTTTGGGGTAATGACGCCGATATCAATAGAATCTTTGTCCTGCAGAAATGTGCGGTTGGGGCAATTTATAATCTGGCCCCAGAGTACCTTTGAGAGATAAGTTTCAGAAAATTAATATTCTTACACTAGTGTCACAGTACATTTATGAAAATGTAATTTATGTTCAGAGGAATAGTAATTTCTTTATGAAAAACAGTGACAGACTTAACATTAATCCGAGGAATAGCATAAACTAGCTGGCTTGGTCTCGTCTTCACAAAGTCACAAATTCATTTAAGGGACAATGTATACGTTTCTATAACAAGATTCCGGTTGATATACAACATTTGCCATTCACAAGCATTGACTTACAAATAAATGGACGACGGGTCTAATACAAAAACCACGAAAAAAATGTCCCAAGTCAACCTATTTAAACGTAGTGACATGTAAAGGAATATGAAAAAGCTAAAACGTTGAATTTAAATTGTAATGTCAGCGCAGTACTGTCTAACTTTGCTTGCTTCGCTGTCAGTCGAACAAACGAAGACTAAAGCGTGAATGACGCTCTGTATTCGATTTTAACGCCCTATAAGTTCGGACATTTTCAGCGCGGACCCGACGTCCTAATATAATTGTAAGTCAATGCTCACAAGGCTTTATACTATAGTGAAATCAAAACTTTATACTAAAGGTTATTATACAACTTCTGCGTACTTGGATAACAAAAATCCCTGGTAGTAACCCGTTTGGCTCATGGAGGTAGTCTCGATCTCTGAGGTTTGAAAACAAAAAAATATATTGTAAATGTTGAATGTGTACAATTGTTATTTACAAAGAGCAACCCCTAGAGTTTCTTGCTCAATCTTCTCAGGTGAATCTGCCTTACGAATGAGTGGTAAAGTTTAACCAATGTGACGATTTCAAGTATAATAATGCTTACTATGCTGATGATAATCATGTTAAACAAAATTGTCTAGATTCTGGACCAATATCACATTTACAATCCAAAGAAGCTGTTGGGCGTAAACGCTGTGAACTCCATGAGGGCAGGTCAAATGCTCGCTACGAAGGCGAATATCCAGGCCGGGGACGCACATGTTCCTATCGTCGGCGGCACAGGCCGAGTTACAAGGGTACCTGTTTATTCTGGGACCACCTATTTTCATTGCGTATCACCCGTAAGTACCTTTATGGAATATTCGGCATTCTTTGAGCGATGTCACACCGAGTGCCATATGAGCAATGCGTTGTAGCAACGTTATGCGCGCCGCTTACTTACGCATTGCAGCACCAGCGTCTCCTGGTCCTTTGTCCGATGAGTACGCGTTTCGCCGCCATGCGCCATTTCAACGCATGTCGTTCTAATTTATACGCTTCGCTCTTACTTAACTTGACTCTGAATTACATAATTAATGAGAATAAATTAAATTATTTCTGTTTACAAGTAGATACCATTTCTTCGGGACATCTCTGACTAAATTATAAGCCCAATTTACGGTCAGCAGCGTCTCTCTGCGTGAAGATATGTAGGTTGATTGCGATCGCTAATTTGCCTGCTGAACCAGGGGGTCTACTTCCGTTCTAATTCCGATATCCGTGCAAAAGCGCGAAACTATTACTGTCAAATAAGTAACCAAAAGACAATGTTATAAGCATGTTATAAGTATGAAGATTAATTCGCGTCATGCGTCTTTTAATTTGCCCCCGAGAACTAGAGAGAGTAGACCCCTGGAGGAGTAATTTTCAGTTTCTCTACACAGTTTCGGTGGCAATTTTTATTATTTAAGAATTCAAGTATGTTATCGTGAAATATTCAATACTATTTAAGTATACTACACTCGAATAATAACCAATACTTCCATGATAATATATTCTAGAATATTTAAATAATAATTAAGAATTGCCACCGAAATTAGGTAGAGAAAACTAACCGGTTCGAGTTCTACTCGCGAATCGCGGTTGTTCTGTCACACACCGAATCGAGTTAACTCGAGTTGCAACTCGAGTTAGCAGTCACGTCAACTCGAGTAACTCGAGTTGAAAAAAATACAACTCATCCCATGGCTAATATACATATTGATGTTATTTGTTTTACAGGAGGATTATGACTGTATGATCCGTCTAGTCCGTGAGGCAGACGACTTGATCTGTTGCGTCAAGTGTAACAACGAACAGGGCCATCTATCCATTGGATATGCCACCGCTCGATTTGCCACCAATTGCCTCAAAGGTTTCTTTCATCGTATACTTCCTTTACCTATGTATTCTATGCAGCGACTAGACGAAAGAAATAAAGATAATGCATGATTAGTGTTGTGTATAATACAACAATATAATTTCATCGAGTATATAACCAGAAATAGAGACGAAATCTCGTCAGGTAAATGGGCCTTATATTAGTTTTGAATATCAACTGTCGTTTGCGCTGAAATCACAAATTAGAAAACTGACATAGTACAGTCTATATGTCTCCGTATATTAAAAAAATGTTCTGTATTTATTGTAATAAAGATAATATCTCTAACAATACAACAAACAGTCCCCTGTTCCATTCGGTGGTGTGGGAAAAATAGCAAAACATCTAATTGCAAAACAAACAGAATCACATTTCATCGGTAATTAAATAAGCTTAACTTAGCTTAAGTAAAACAATTGACGACACGCGTCAATGATTTGGCAGATTAGTTTTCAAACAAATTAAATGACATTTCGTCTCTATTTCTGGTTATATACTCGATGTATAATTTATTATTCGAAAATTCTGGTACGTAAAAAGGCAACTTTGTTACTAAGTAGAAGAGTCCTGACAGCCTAATTAATGATTGTATGTATGGTAGAATAGTACATATGCATTTATTGCAATGCTACAACACAAACATTCAGAAGAAAAAAAAAGGCAAATATAGTATTGTAGAATACGAATATATTTTGTGGTAACGTGTGTGCTGTTTGCAATAGTATCTCATATCTCAGTAGCAGTAGAGCTTCTTGTGAAAGAGTTCGTCTAGGGAAGTACTGCCACCTTCAGGTTGATTTTAATTCAAATTGTAATCCATCCGAGTCTCGAAATCAGATGGGTTTTCGAGCGGGAAGATGAACTTGATTCCTACTACGTCTTTCTAATTTGTGAGTTAAATCAACTATTGTTTCGATTTGAAATGTCAAGTTTCCGATCGGTCAGTTGTGAATCGCAATTATGCGCCTCGAATCGAAAGAAACGTAGGTTCCGAGCGGGAGAGGCAATCAAAATCAAGCTGCTTATCTATTCCTGCTGCCAAGCAGTAATATCAGCGTCACTGCGTTCCGATTTTAAAGGGTAAGCGTGTTGGTGAAATTACAGGCACATGGGACTTATCAACTTATGTCTCAGAGTGGCGGGCGCAGTGGCAGTGCCCCTCAGATCTTTGCGATTTAAAGCTCTGAGTGGCACTGCAATTGTTATGGGCATGCATGCATGTAGCTTCATCAGGCGCGCGACTTGATATTATAAAAAAAATCTCTCTCAATTATTTATTTATTTCTATTTATTCATTTACATCAGGCGACATTGATCTATATTATTTATAACTCAAGGACTAATATTATTAATTATTGAAAATAATATTGTATTATATAACTAAGGTATTGCATACCGTACTTGTTAAAGACTCTTTTCACGACTTAACGCACTTTGTTACGGTTTAATAAGTTTTAAAATTACTACCTATTAAAATTACTACCTATTTGGTTGTCCCACTCCGCACAGTATTTTTCAATACGTAGTCTATTCGCGAACCTTTTAACCTAATTGGTTTTGGTGTCTCTTGTCGGTTTTCTGGTAGCTTCAGGGCGCATTTATTTGACACGAATTTCACCGCGCTCACCCGACGCGGTCACCGCGCGGTAGCCGAGCGGAGTCCGCGTTGCCGCCGTGCAGCGACTTCGTGCGTTTAACTGTCATGGCAAAATACGCTCTATTTGTTTAGCTTTTACGTTTTAACTTAAGTGAGCGTTCCGGGCAAGCGGGCGAGTCTGGCTTGAATTTGGATTTGAATTATTAAGAGGAGTTTAAATAGAATTCAGATTCGCAATTAATGTATATGAAGGCGTGATAGGTAACTGGGCGGCCGCGCGAAAGCTTTCGCTTCGTGTAACTGGGCGCTTAAGGCTTAGCCCAGTACAAAAATCTGCAACAAGCTTATAGAAAATTCGTAAGATTTGCTGGCTCGATCCGTAGTTTAGTTGGCAAAGCGATAGCCACGTTGAGGCAACAGTCGCTGGTTCAAGCCCAGTGGGATCTAAGGAATTTTTCTTTGTTGGTTTGATCTTTGTATCAATAATAATAACTAATTAGTTGTCAATTTTGGCCATATTATAAGTCTTAATTAACCCATTATACGACCCACTGCTTGGCACGGGTCTCCCCTCAGGCGAGGGTTTAGGCCATAGTCCGTCACGCTGGTTCAAAGTGGGTCGGAGTCTTCATACATTTTCCGTGGAGTAACCTTCTTCGTATTGCAGGTTTTCATTACGATGTTTTTCTTCACCGAAAGACTCGTGGTAAATTTAAAATTAAATTTCGACATCCGTCCGAAACAATTACCGTCAAGTAAGTAATACTCGACCAAAAAAGGCAGTGTTAAGTATGAAGCTTCATTCGCATAATGCGTTTTTTAATTTATTCTTTTTAACTTTTTTTTTTTTCTTCTTATTTTTTTTTATTTTTTTTTAACTTATTTGACTGTAATTGTCTCGGATGGATGTCGGAAGTGGAACGAGAGTACAGGGCCTGGATTCGAACTATTTCGAACCCACGGTCTCTGCTTGAGACGTGACAGGTCAAATCTACTTAAACCTAATTAGGTTACCACAGCATTACAAGTAACGATGACAAATTCTCCAGGTTTATACGAAAAGCCGACCATGGCAGAGAGTGCTCTGGTGGAGATAGAAGATCCGAGTAGCTGCTACGGCTTGAAGTACTGCTCAGTGCCTATCACCATCGGCGACACGGGAATTGTCAAGTACCATATACCCAAACTGAACCCACCCGAATTGGAGCTTCTTAAAGATAGCCAGTTTGTTTTTAATCATTTTGTTTATAAACTTAACTAACTGCACCACGTTGGATTCGTATTGGTTCCGAATCCTAGAAACGGCAGTCCGAAATGTGACAGGGATCATTTTTAACCGACTTCAATAAGGAGGAGGTTCTTAATTCGGCTGTATGTTTTTTTTGTATGTAGGTTACGCGATAACTCCGGTATTTGTGAACCGATTTTCATGATTCTTTTTTGTTGGAAAGGGGGTACTTCCATAGTGGTCCCATGTCATTTTGAAGGAAATCATCAACCTCTAAGGATGGCTGTTCACGCATGAAGATTCGTTTTTATAAATAGCGCCTAAGTTTTCTCCAGGAGCAATTATTTTAATGGTTGATTTTGCTATTTCTCCAATTCAAGGCGTTTTTCTCTCAATATTCTTTGAGTAGTGAGAACCGATTTTTATTATCTCCAGTGTCAAGTCCTGTATAGTGGCGATTCTAAGAATATTTCAATAAAACTTAGTAAATAGACGTAATTCCACGTACTTTTGAGGTCGGTTTTTTTAGTACTCTGTACTGAGATTATATATCTAGGTGTACTTAGTGCACAAGCGATATTGGAATTGCGTCCGAGTTTTCTAGATTTGTATAGTCTCGGGTTCGGAAGGAATACGAATCGAATGCAGTGTGCAAAGGCGCTTAGAGTAAAAACTTCGCATATTTCTTACCGAAAATCGAACCTGGGACTTTAACTTCAGCGTTCATAGTGCAAAAATAACATATGATGTAGTGTGAAAATGGCGACCTCTGTGGACCGTTTATTTGAAGTATTAAGTTAACAAATGCACCTATGGAAACACTACTGACATATTTACATTAGTTCCCAACGTTTTTGTACTTTATTTTTTCTGTTATTTTAAAAATCGATCAAAGTATTTCGTCACCCAGTTAAACATCTTTACAGCTGGGTGACGAAACACTTTCATAGATTTCTCATAGATGGCGCTACGGCTAAATAGTCGTTGAAAACCAAATACAAAGATCCAACAATAAGCACGTACGAAAATTTGTAAGGTCCGCTGGTTCGTTCCGTGGCTTAGTTGGCAAAGCGTCTGGCACGGTTTGCTAGAAGATGTCGGTTCGAGTTTCAGCTTTCGAATTTCGATCTTTGTATTAACAATTATAATAAACGAAACTCTGAGATGAAATCAAAGTCAAAAAATGTAAACAAAGGTGATGCCATTACAAAAAATGTTCCACGAATAGTGGAACAGTGAAAAGGACTAAAAATTAATGCTACATGTTTTATATTGTCTTTAAATGGTATGCATGTACGTTCAAACAAAATATTATCAAATCATATTTTTTATTTAAAACACCATATTTAGTAAGATAATCTCAAAAACTGTTTCTCGTGGAAATATTTTTTTCCCTATTGGCAGTGTTTCGGGAATAAACAACCTCTGGCAGTCCTTACTGTTTATTGAATTTTTTATTTTAAGTTGTTATGTATAACAAATACTTACAAGTATAAGTGTGAATAATTAATTGCTACAACACTATTACTTTAATAATTTATTAAATGAAATGTTTGTTATTGAGAATAATAACATTAAAATAATAAATTGGATAATTGTTAAATAGTGTTAATTATAATGAACTGAAAAACGAAAAGTCAGTTTTTGGTCGATAGGGATGGAAAACGGGTCAAGTCGTCGGGTTGCGTCCCCATCAGTGCATCACCGCGATTTTCTTCATTCGGTTTCCGACGGCTGTCGTTATCGAATGAGTTCCATGCTGAGTATGAAAAAGTATAAAGCTTGCAAGTGGCGCAAAAGCTTCAACCCGTTTTTTTTCTAAAATCTTTCTTTGTATGTGTACCTACATGGTCAAATAGCGAGAACAATAGTAATTATAGATAATATTATACTAATACTAATATCTGTCCTGTCTTTGTACTACCTTATAATAAGTTTTTGAACAATAGCGAACAAAAACCTGATAAGCTTTGTTTATACATGAAAGTACATTATTTGTCTCTATTGTGCCTGACTAGAAACAAAAGTCAATATGTTAGCCACTGATGTAGAAAACAAAACATAGTTTATGTTCCCAATATAAAGAATATTCTAAGTGTTTCTTTTGCGTAATTTTGGCCGTGACCCTTTTCATTTCCTAGTAATTTTTGAATTGAAAATACATTTAGAACACAAAATTTTTCTAAACAGTTTTGGTAATTGTTCAACCAGAAAGGGTATTATTCAATTATAATTTATTAGTCAGAATACAGTGGAACCTGTTAATAAACGAACGTGGAAAAAAAGGTTTATGGTCTATGAGATGTCAGTTTGACAGTGACAGTTGTTTACATTTTTTGACTTCGACTACATCTCAGAGTTTGTTGGAGTAATTTCACAAAAAATAATTAAATATCAATTCAATAAAAAATTAATTAAAAACAAAACAGGCCCAAAGATTAAGTTAGCGTAATGTTCATTGGAGGTATCGAAACATTAAAATTTTTTATACTCCCTCTGAGTCACAGGACAAATTTTCCATATACATTCCCTCCATTATGTTTATGAAACTGGCTTAAAACGTATTCTGGCAAAATTGAGACAATTAGTTTCACAAGCAATTTCATTAAGAAAAAAAAAATATAAAAAATTATTTCAGTAAATTTTTTAAATTTATTTCTGGCAAACAATGTTAGTACGGGCATTACACATATACATAATTACTAAGTACAAACATACGTAATGATGGAGTGTAGCAAATTATTAACATAAATAAACATAGGCGTTGTAGACGAAGTATTTAAAGACTTAAAATAGACACAAGGTTAACACGAAAGTGCACTGTTACAATGATGATAACTATGAATTACTTAAAGAACTAGACATTATTTAATACCTGTCATATACAATGATCTGAATGTTGACTAAAATAATTTACGTAAACTCACATTTAAAAAGAACACGAAAGAAAATTACAGAAAAAGTAATGGTTGTATTCTGATAGTTCTATGTAAGTGTGTATGTAGATATTGTATGAAATTTGTACGATATGTACGACGATAGCTAAAGATGTTGCTAAACATGGGAGCCGTCAATAAACTGCTCTGTAATATGGCAGGCTTTGAATTTGTAGCCAAGTGTTATTGACAAGGATCGGAATAGGTAGAGTTTTTTTACGTAAATTTCGAGGAACATAGACAGAAAATGGAGACTCCCATATGACAATATTTTTAGGTCCTGGGCCTTTTCGGGGTTAGGATCTCTCGATTGGCATTTTTTTAGAGAGGTGTCGTGAAAAATGTCCAATGTCTGCAATATCGCCGATCCGACCCACTGTGTCACAAAGTTAAGACAAATATAGTGTACCTGCCTGTCCCCAACTAACCGCTCACGCGATACATGCAGCCGTAGACGCATACCACACCTACAGGTGCCGGTGATGATTTTATACCGATTTATCGGATATCGAAGTTATAACAGGTAAAAGAACTAATATTAATTGCTATTTCGGTCACTACTCTAGCAAACCATAAAGTTTTTAATGCCTGGATCTGTCATTTAAAAAAAATAAACAACTTCAAAAAGAACGTCACGACAATTTTTGAGTTATTTATTGAAAACATACCGTAAGTAGCGTTTTTTAAGTTTACCCTGAATATAAATGTTTATAAACTATACTTTAAGGAGTAATTTCATGGTAAACGTTTGAACCACTCAAACGGAATATTATCATATTTATCCAAGTACACCAAAAATTTCATTAGTGCTTTTTAAATGCAGGATTTGCGGTGTATTACTGCATTTTATTTGAGATGTTTTTGTTGGTAGTAAGGAGGGTATTTATTTAGCAATGCAGAAAAATAATTTTTATTTATAAAAACTTTTATTTAAACTGAATCCTTTTCTAATTTGCGAAACCAAATAGCCGCCATTTTGCGGTAGGAGGAGCGCATCGCGTGAGCGGATACGTCAATTTTTGGTGTACCTACTTAAGTGATTTCCCAAATCCCGAACAGGTCCAGGGACTTAAAAAATATTGTGGCAAGGCAGTCTCCTTTTTTTGTCTATGTTCCTCGAAGTTTACGTAAAAAAACCCTACCTATTCCGATCCCCGTTATTAATAATAAACGATTTTTTAAAATTAATTTATGACGACCTCGGTGACCAAATGGTAGGACCAATTTCGGAAATGAACTTTTCGAAATTTCTTCTGGTCTGGGTTCCGAGAAGTGCCCTAGAATTTCATTACTCTGGTAAATTAGACAACAGTACAGTAGTACAGGGAAATTATAATATTATGGAAGAGTTCATCAGCTTTTTCATATCGTCTTATCCATCGAATCCACGAAGTCACACTGTAGTACCACTATATTATCAATAGAGACTTTAAAATGGTTTTGAATATGTTGTAATTCTTTTCTTTCTTAATGGATTTTGGTCTTTCATTATAAATACATCTATAGAGCGGTCTTTCTCTAAACCTTTCTAATCTCAGTATCGAATAATTCGTGAGGTCCGCTGGTCCGTACCGTGGCTTAGTTGGTATAGCGTCTGACACGGTATGCTAGAAGACGTCGGCTCGAATCCGGCCGGATCGAAGGAATTTTTACTGAGTGTTCAATCTTTGTATTAATAATTATAACAAGCTAGTGGAGTAATTTCTCAAAAAAGAATTGAATATCAATTCAATACAAATTTAAAAAAAGATCTTACCTCTTATTTTCAGTTAGGTATCTAGAAGAACGGTAGTTCTGAATTTGAGACACTTTCTTCAAACAACCATGAACATAATAGCTCCCGTATATTCAACATGTGTTTTAATTATAGTGATTCTCCCTATCAACTTCTTGGTTATGCGGGAAGGGCACTATAACCTGGAAGCCTACCTCGAAATACGATACTACGCATACAAAGATCGTGATTTGATATAAGTCTTTACTCCGAAAGGTCAATTAACTTTCATCGTAAAACTAACATATGTAGTACGTATGAGCTTTCTTGCGGACGCAGTTACGTAGTATTGTATTTTGTGGTCGACTTCCAGATCCCAAAGTAAGTAACAAAAGCGCTTGTGTTATGGAAATCGAAAACAACGTCAGTACCACAAACAGCCAGACCCGCGACAATATAAAAAAGTTAGTTGGTACATTGACCCGGCCGGGGATCGGACCCGGGACCTCAGAGAAGGCACAACCATGAAAACCGGTGTGCAAGCCACTCGACCACGGAGGTCGTCTTTAACAAATTTAACAAGATTTAAATGTTGTCTATCAAAAATGACGGTTTCTAAAATATAAATAGACGGAATAGTTTAAATTTTCTCGGTTATAAAATGCGACGTGCATGTTTCTCTTGGGTGTATATTGTTTATGATGCGCAGGCATTTCTTTTCTATGATAAACGGATTTTTTTTTCACCAGACACGACTTGGAGGATATGTTGGAAATGGGCCGGTGCAACGCCGTCGGTGACGAGTACATCGAAAATTTACCGAATCCTAAACAGCCGTGCTACATTCCTATGGCATGTCCGGTCGGAACACCTTGTAAAAATAAGGCAGATGCCGCTTAAAATTAAGATCAGGACTAATTTATTTGAGTCTGTTACGACCTGACAATTGGTTACGACAAAACCTATTATTTACAGGTTTTGTTGTAACCAATTGTCAAGAGTCCAACCAATTATTTAGCGAGTCAAAAAAAAGCATTTGAAAAGGCGAAGATAAAATCATAGTTTTCCAGTAATGTTAAATGTTTTGCAAATAATATATTTTGGAACATTATTACATGTGATTTTATTTACCTATATTTGTGTTTAATAATTGAACTGCATTAAAAAAGGGGGTGTCCTAACTCTTATGTATGACGTAACATGTTTTGATGTACATTCTTTCACTTGCATCACATCTGTATATCCTGTATAAAGAAAATTGAAAATTATTTACGTAAATTAATAACGTACAAATTAGATACGATATGGTAGTGGCGGGAATTATCGAGACTGCGCGAGAATTCTAAAAACGCACCATTTGTTTTTTTGGCTCGGGTCTAATTTGGACGTGAAGTTTGTTATACTATGGCATCGAGTATATTACCAGAAATAAAGACGAAATGTCATTTAATTTGTTTGAAAACTATTCTGTTATATCATTACGGTGATAACTGCGCTCCGATTGGCCAGCCCGAATTCGAAACAAGTGACAGGTGTTCTTTTACTTCAAATCGACCAGTTTAACTTGAGCTTTCTTATAATGGACCAAAATCGAAAAATTACTTATTTTTTTATTTATTTTTAGGAAGATTTACAGCGAATTTTTAACAATGAATAAATGTTGAGTAACAGGTGAAAATGCTAATTACAAATCTCCACAAGTAGCACAAAAAATAAGTTATTAAATTTTTAGTCAGCAGAAACTAAAACATTATTCAATAATTTAATATTACATAATTTAATATTTAATTACCGTTGAAATGTGATTCCTTTTGTTTTGTAGTTAGATGTTTTGTTGTTTCTTCCACACCACTGAATGGAACAGCCCCCATAGTTAGAGATATTATCTTTATTACAATAAATACAGAATATTTTTGGAATATACGGAGACGTACACACAGTTCAGTTATTGGCGCTGTACTGTTTCAGCTTTCTAATTTGTGATTTCAGACGAGAGACGGCGAGATTGCAAACGAGAGTAGATATGTTTTTAAAAGTGATATCAGTTCCATTTGACTGATGAGTTGCCAGGGATGGATGGCTCTTATTTCCTCTCTATTTCTGGTTATATACTCGATGAACTATGGGTACCAAAAATTCTTAAGGGTCAATTTTTGAAAATGGATTTGAATAAAGAACAATAAATAGGTGTGATTACTCCATTGACTTACAATTATATGGCCGTCGGGTCCGCGCTAAAAAGTGTCCGAACTTATAGGGCGTTAAAATCGTATACAGAGCGTCATTCACGCTTCAGTCTTCGTTTGTTCGACTGACAGCGAAGCAAGCAAAATTAGACAGTACTGCGATGACATTACAATTTAAATTCAACGTTTTAGCTTTTTCATATTCCTTTACATGTCACTACGTTTAAATAGGTTGACTTGGGACATTTTTTTCGTGGTTTTTGTATTAGACCCGTCGTCCATTTATTTGTAAGTTAATGGATTACTCGATAATCTGTTGTTATTATATAATACGTTGATAACAACTTCACGCATTAACTGCATGCAGTTGATCGCGGCTGCATGAAGTCAGTTCCGACTGTATGCAGTTAATGCGTGAAATCGTTATCCTAGACCTCGACTGCATGAAGTTGATAACGACTTCACGCATTAACGGCAAACATGCAGTCAATTTGTTAGCAGCTCTATTATATTTATAACGCAATCAACGTACGTAAGTATTATGTTCTGTGGTAGTTATACTTCCAGCTACTGACGATGTAGAAGATCCAGTTAAACCCAGTTAATTGATCACTAATTTGGAACGGAAATAAGGGATTAGAACCGTCATCCAGTCGATTGCCCGTGGGTTCATTCCTGATAATCGCCATTACACGGAGTCACGAGATCATTTGCCTATTACGATAATTATTGCTAAGATCTACTTTAATTTTTAAGCTTACTACGAACTTGACGTTTTTGGTTGTTTCTGACCAAAAACATGTATCGTCCTGTGGGGATTGGATACAGAGAGTGAAAGACCACGGGTTCTGTTATCTCACTACTATAAATAACACCACACAAGAAAAAATAAGACAGAAAAAATAAAAATGTAGTATTGTTAAAAACATTCATAGTTAAAGTCAAATATTGTTTATTTCATAGGTAAGCAAATTATACTTGAAATCTTCATACTGATTAAACTTTACTGCTCATTCGTAAGACAGATTCCCCTGAGAAGAATGAGCAAGAAGCTCTGGGGGTTGCTCTTTGTAAATATATATTTAAGTACATTTATCATTATAATATTTCATTTAAGTGGACCTCGAGCTAAGATATTTACCTTAAATCGAGAATATCTGAAAGAGCTAAACGTGTCTCTACCACGGATTTTTGTCATCCAAGTACGTAGAAGTTGTACAGAAACCTTTAGTATAAAGTTTTTGTTTCACTGTAGTTTTAAACCTCGTAAGTGGCAAATTTTGAACATCAATCTGAATCTTACTATAAAAGCATATGCATTGCCCCTTAAATGAAATTTGAGACTTTATGAAGACGACTGCACCGCTCGTTTATTTATATTCCTCGTATTAATCCTTCATTTTTTTCCGTCCTCTAAGCATTCATAAAAAAAAATCTTTTTCTTAACATAAATAACATTTTCTTAAGTGTACTGTGACGTTAGTGTAAGAATGTTAATCTCTTTAAAGTTATCTCTCATAGACACACACTAATTCCCATGACATGACACAAATAAATAATTACAAGACAAAATCACAAACTAAATTATATTACAGATTATTTACATAAACATAAAGATACTAAGTATGCAATTTGTGTGGTGCCAGCCGGGCGGTAACAAGAGGGTCACTACCACTGCTGGGCTCGAGTTTTCTCTCAGGCGAGGTTTTAGGCCATAGTCCACCACGCTGGCCCAATGTGAGTTGGAGACTACACACCTTTTCTGAGGGTCGTAAACCTTCTTCGACGTGTCACAATGTTTTCCATCACCGCAAAGCTTGTGATGTTTTTTAATAAATTTCGAAAACTTAGAGGTGCGAGTCCGGTATTTGAAAACTACGGCTTTTGCTTGAGAGGCGGTAGGTCAAACCATTAGGCATCTATACTATTTATTTTTTTATTTATAACTTGACTAAGCGAAAATGGTGAGTTAAGTAATTTTTCGTATTTACAAAATGAATTTTGCCTAAGTTTAAGCAACAAATTAAATTAAACTTTAAGTTTACTTTGTAAATTCTTGCTTTCTCCTCGTCGCGTCGTATTTTTTCATTAGAGACCTCCATACTAGCGTCTTTCGAACGTCAGCCTCAGAATTGTCAACGCACGCACAGCGTCGCGTCTATACGACGTCCGCGCGACTTCGATGCAACGCTAGGGCGGCGTATACCCGCGACATTCGGGACTATTTAGCAGTCGCTCAGTGCTAGCTTTGTTGCGTTCACAAATTAGTTAGGTATATTACGTTGTGTCGATGCTGTGTGTACGTTGGCAAGACGCTGACACTCAAAGGATTCTCTTATGGAACCTGTTAGACTCCCCTCACAACGCACTCACAACGTCGGCACGACGCGCGCGCGGCGGCGCGACGCCTCACCAGCGCGGCGTATATCGGACGTTCATCACTATTTATAGGGTCTACTACCGTTCTCTAACCGACATTCGTCTGAAACAATTACTGTCAATTACGTAATACTCGACTAAATCAAACGAGCGGAAGTAGACTCCCAGCAGTCGCCTACTGTCGCCACGCTAGTTTTGCGCCGCCGACGGTCAGACGTCCAGGTCGACGCTGTGCGTATTTTGGCAAGACGCTGACGCTCGAAAGACGCTAGTGTGAAGGGTCTCTTACTGAGTCGTGACTCCCCCGCGGAAACAGTTTCTGCATGATGCATCTGTGGCGGTCTTTGGCATAGTAGAGTGCATCATTGAGGCCCATGCCGAGAGCCGTACAAACTTGGTCGGACCATCTTGTAGGACAGCGACCCCTCGGACATTTACCACCAATCCGTCCGGCAACCATTAGCTGTTCCAGGTTGTGCCCTTCTTTCCTGGCACTGTGACCAAGAAACCAAATATGTTACGGAGACGTAAGATGGATAGCCTGGTATGGGCTATAAACTCCCGCAAAATTGAGTGTTTGGTGCAACCAGTAAAACGGATACGCAAAATTTTCCTTCAGCACAAAAATTCTTGCTTGAACTACGGCAAAGTAGTTCGTTATATAAAACGAACTTTGGTGTAGTACGAAAAACTTGCTTAGCTCGTCATTTTTGCTTAGTCGAAGTGGGTAGTTTCGTGGGTAATGAAACTATTTTTTTTATAAACGAACCAACGTTTCGGGCCCTGGTCCCATGATGACTGCCACTCAGTGAGCCGTCTCTACGGGACCTGTAAAGGGCCCGAAACGTTGGCTTGTTTGAAAACAACAAATACACGCCATTTAGATGCGAAAAATAATTTCATTTTCATGTAACAATCGCGAAATCCTAAGAATTCCTAGTTTTATTTTATAAATCTCAGCCTTAGTCAAGTTCCAAAGAATAAAATAAAAATTTCACGTATAAAATTTTTGTTTACCCAAAACGTGCCTTCCTGGTCACGTTATCACGTGCGTTCAAACGCTGTTGCTTAAATATTTCCATTAACCACATCGCGTGGTCACAGTCACGTTTGCTAATTATGTATGGCTTCTGGCTAACACTGTCTCGGCAAGGTAATTTTGGATAACAGGGTACCCAGAGTATCTTAAGAAAATCCCTTCCATTGTTTTAATACCTGCTGCCAATTTCTTCTTGTTGTGCCAATTTTTTTATTATTTTTAAATTATATAAGTAGTATGTATATGTATACTGCCGTCATTGCGTTACATGTGCCCAAGCTGAGATCTTTCCTTGAGCAGGACACCGAGATGATATTGGTAAAAAACCGTATTCGTCGGTAATGATGGGTCGTGGGAAAATGTTCATTTTGAAATTTTTCAGAAAAATAATAATTTTTCCGAATGTTTTTCTATATTTTCCCACTTTTAACGGTTGGCACTTGTCAAAAGTTGATTTTTTTTGTAGGTATGTTACGCGATAAATCCAGTATTTGTGAAA